TCTGTAAACTGAGATATTTCTCTGAGCATCAGAATCTAAACATAGAAAGAGGAGAGAGGAGAGTTGAGGAATTCCAGCTCTCAGTATCTTAGAACAGAAAACTTCAGCTAGACCTGACCAAAAGCACTGACGGTCCAAAACTGTTTAATGAATTGAGCAGAGAGATATGAATATGAATATGAATTTTTCTCTCATATACAGAGGCCTATAGCTTTGTTTACAGCCCCTTTGGGATTGTGTTTCTGCCATGAACGAGCTTATGGAAAACTTGTTCTTTAAAGCATTTCTAGTCAAAACTAAATTGTGCGTGCAAAATATTCTACAATACCCATCAATAAACAGTTTTACAGCAACATGCAACAAAATCACAAACAAATCATGTGTAGAAATTATAATTAATAATGCAAAAAAACATACTGTGACCATACTGTAAGATCAAAATCTTAAAGATATATGATTATATTATAATACATATAAAAACAATTTAATAAGCAAATAAAATCAAATAATCTCTCTCTCTCTCTCTCTCTCTCTCATAACCAAGAAAAAAGTTTTAAAAACAGTTAAAAAATGGCCAGGTTGAGTTCCATACTGTCAGATCTAAATATTAAATACACTGGATAGTTACGCTAAACCACTAAAGAGAATCTCCTGTAAAATTAGCAACACTGAATCTCTATGATCTTGGCTATTATGGGACAAAATATGCTGTTAAACTATATTAAGTTTCAGCGTGTCGTATCATGTCATGAGCGGAGTGTGAAATCAACACAAAACGTCACACATGTTCCACCACGAATGGCAGAAAACCTTTCTCTCCCAATAACACACCCGAGGTCAATCAATCACACAACTACAAACGTTCTCAACAGACCAAGCATAGCGATGTTCAGAGCATGTTTCTGCTATTGCACATTTGAAAATCATTACATCGCTCTCTGCCCCTTCAAACGATGGCAATATGTGCGTCTGCCGTGCTGTGGACAGTAAAACACACACAAAACACCTCTAGTTCTCACTTAAATTAAGCTCATAACATTAACTACAGTATGAGCATGTTCCACTAACGTCTGACAACCATAAAGTGTCCAAGTAGCCTACTTCATATTGAACACTATATCTACAGGGAAACATAAACATTGTAATGTAAAAATTGCAGACTTATTTCAGCATACTGGATGAGTTATTAAATTTAGAGACACCTCCATAAGTGACAGTGCAGAGAGCTTTACTGTTTGACTCATTACACGAGCGTCTGTCAATTAGAGCAAGTTAAGCGTGGAGGTGTGTGTGTGTAAGTGTGTTTTGTGGCTATCTGTGGTGCTTGTTAATCTCTCTTAAATGGGAGTAATAAAAAGCAGGTTGGGTGTGAATTAAGAACACTAAATACCTTATCACTGCTTTAGAAATACTACAAATAACACACTGTTAAAGCCACTTCATAAAGTTTGGGGACGGATATGTAGTTTGTTGACTGCTTTGTAAAGTTTCCTTTTGCATTGGTATAAAATTGTGTAAGAGACAAATAAATATAAATCTACAATTGTGCTTCAATTATCTCAGTGTAAACTGTGTCTATAGTAAATGTTCTTCCAGTAACATTAATAGAACATTAGTTCAAACTTTAATAATGTTCTCAAAACGTTGGCATAAAAACGCTATTTATACATTGTTCATGGAATGTTTTTTTTTTCTGAAATGTTTTAGTTGGAATTTTTTTGTCTAACATTTTTAAAATGTTACTACTTGTTTCAGAATGTTCAGAGAACATTCTAAAGTAACATTCTAATACTGTTTGGAAAATTATACAATGGAATGTTCCCTTCAGGTTCGCATAAACGTTTTAAAAACTGGACATATGGAACGTTTCAGAAATAACATCTTAGAGCATATGCTTGTTAGCTGGGAATCTATCCTATAATAGTATAGACGTGTAAAAGCTAGATAAGCTCTGAACTCTGCAACAACAAGTTAACTCGCAGCATTTTACCTGCAAATCTGTACAAAGAAAAAAAGAAGGGCGGCTTTTTTAATCACAATTCTTATATTATAAAGTCTGGCTGGTTGACGTGCAAAAACAGAGGAATTCCAGAACACACATCACTCTTAAAAGTACACTCTAAAAAATGCTGGGTTTTTTCAACCCAACTTTGGGTCAAATATGGACTAACCCAGCTGTTGGGTTAAATTTTTACATTACATTTTTAACCCAAAAGTTGGGTTGAAACAACCCAGCATTTTTTAGAGTGTAATTAAAAAAGACAAATATATATAGAAATAGTTCTACTTGCATAGGAGGCTTTGTGAAAAACTGCTCGATCTTTTTAAATGTTACTACTTGTTTCAGAATGTTCAGAGAACATTCTAAAGTAACATTCTAATACTGTTTGGAAAATTATACAATGGAATGTTCCCTTCAGGTTCGCATAAACGTTTTAAAAACTGGACATATGGAACGTTTCAGAAATAACGTCTTAGAGCATATGCTTGTTAGCTGGGAATCTATCCTATAATAGTATAGACGTGTAAAAGCTAGATAAGCTCTGAACTCTGCAACAACAAGTTAACTCGCAGCATTTTACCTGCAAATCTGTACAAAGAAAAAAAGAAGGGCGGCTTTTTTAATCACAATTCTTATATTATAAAGTCTGGCTGGTTGACGTGCAAAAACAGAGGAATTCCAGAACACACATCACTCTTAAAAGTACACTCTAAAAAATGCTGGGTTGTTTCAACCCAACTTTGGGTCAAATATGGACTAACCCAGCTGTTGGGTTAAATTTTTACATTACATTTTTAACCCAAAAGTTGGGTTGAAACAACCCAGCATTTTTTAGAGTGTAATTAAAAAAGACAAATATATATAGAAATAGTTCTACTTGCATAGGAGGCTTTGTGAAAAACTGCTCGATGTCTTGTCGACTGAGACGCCGTGACGTCAGACGATGTCTAATAACGCGATAATGTCGCGATGAGTGAAGAAGAGGCTTTCAAAGGATTTGGGCAAAAAGTCAAAAGAACCTGTTGACAAGCCACTGAACACTGGACTCTCACTTACTCTACAACACACCAAGAGCTCTGTGATTTCTGTGATTTCTGCATAGACGACTGACACACACTCACACAGGTTTGTTTTATGATTTATGGGGACTCTCCATAGGCGTAATGGTTTTTATACTGTACAGACCGTATTTTCTATCGCCTTACACCAACACCCTACACCTAAACATACCCCACACAGGAATCTTTCTGCATTTTTAGACTTTTTAAAACTTCATTCTGTATGATTTATAAGCTTGTTTCCTCATGGGGACCTAAAAAAATGTACAGGTATTATTATCCTTGTGGGGACAATTAGGCACACACACACACATCATGAAACTGATGAGTATTTTTAGTTGTATATTCTAATAACATTAAAATTATAAAAATAAGTACAAATATTTTATTATTTTATTTTATTGGGGTTAATATAATCGTAAAATTGATGAATATTTTTACAGTGTGTTCTGATAACTAAACGTTTCCGAAGTAAAATATATTTAGCAAATAAATTAAAATAATACTTAAATACTTATTTGATTTTATTTGTATTATTTTATGGAGGCTCATTCACTCATGAAATTGGCTTATATTTTTAGCTGTGCATTCCGATAATAATAATATATATTTGTAATAATTTTATTTGTAAAATATAGTTAGCATTTTTTTTTTATTTTTATTTTATTTTATTTTATTTTATTTTATTTTATTTTATTTTATTTTATTTTATTTTATTTTATTTTATTTTATTTTATTTTATTTTATTTTATTTTATTTTATTTTATTTTATTTTATTTTATTTTATTTTATTTTATTTTATTTTATTTTATTTTATTTTATTTTATTTTATTTTATTTTATTTTATTTTATTTTATTTTATTTTAAAAGTTGGGTTGAAACAACCCAGCATTTTTTAGAGTGTAATTAAAAAAGACAAATATATATAGAAATAGTTCTACTTGCTTAGGAGGCTTTGTGAAAAACTGCTCGATGTCTTGTCGACTGAGACGCCGTGACGTCAGACGATGTCTAATAACGCGATAATGTCGCGATGAGTGAAGAAGAGGCTTTCAAAGGATTTGGGCAAAAAGTCAAAAGAACCTGTTGACAAGCCACTGAACACTGGACTCTCACTTACTCTACAACACACCAAGAGCTCTGTGATTTCTGTGATTTCTGCATAGACGACTGACACACACTCACACAGGTTTGTTTTATGATTTATGGGGACTCTCCATAGGCGTAATGGTTTTTATACTGTACAGACCGTATTTTCTATCGCCTTACACCAACCCTACCCCTAAACCTACCCCTCACAGGAAACTTTCTGCATTTTTAGATTTTCAAAAAAACTTATTCTGAATTATTAATAAGCCTTTTGAATTACGGGGACACTGAAAATGTCCTCATAAATCACCTTCTGGTTGTAATACCTATGTCATACCCATGTTATTATACACATTAGTGTCCTCATAAACCACATAAACATGCACACACACACACACACACACACACACACAATAACGAAAACGGCAGGAAGAACGAGATTTATTTATTATTATTTATTTAGCATTATAGCACAATTCTCATTGTTAGAATGATTTATTTTTTATTGTACTTTAACACACAAATAATGAATCTAGGCCTATATCTGTACGCTTTATGCAGTGTTTGCGTTAACAAAACGTGCAAAAATATAGCCTATAATAATAATAATTAGCATTCTTGTTCTTCTTGCCGTTATCGTTATTTGCTAAAACACTAAAATGATAATAGGTTATCGAAATACCAATAGGCCTAATAGGCTATATCGATAAATATTATAGGCTATAGCCTATGCATAAAATCCTTGTGGGGAAAAAAATTGTAAATATGCTTCGAAATATTCCCTTTAAAATTTTGTGTTGATTATTAAAAGCGCAGCTGAAATGACATGAGATGAATGCATCCGCTCTTACTGTTGGTAGTCGTGTTTGCAGTAGAGTTTCTGGTCTCTGGAGTAGCAGCTCATGCTGAGAAGCTGCTGACACACCGAGCACTGCAGACACTCCTCGTGCCACGAGCTGTCGTTCACTCGCAGGAGGAAGCGGTCAGAGATCGGTCTGCGACATCCTTCACACACGCTCTGATGGACGCAGTCTGAGCCTGACAACACACAACCGATACACATCACATACGTCCACTGGACAGTTACAGAACAATTATAATAATAATAATAATACAAATCGAACACAATTCGACGAATACATTTATGAACTCGTTTTCTAAAATACACTGAAAAATATTGTTTCTTTAAGTACACTCTAAAAAATGCTGGGTTGTTTCAACCCAATTTTGGGTCAAATATGGACTAACACAACTGTTGGGTTAAAAAGTTAATTTAAAAATGTAACCATATTTGGCCCAACATTGGGTTGAAACAACCCAGCATTTTTTTAGAGTGTAGCTATTAAGCCTATAATCAGAGTGAAAATGCGCAGTTGTTACTTAAAGGAGTTATTTCTATCCGACACTTTAAAAAATGTATTTTGTTGACGACGTAATTAGATAAATTGCGACTTTTAGCCTACGAAATGGTATTTAAAAAAAAATTATAATAGGCTACAAATAAAAACAAATGAAATATTTTATGTTCAATTATGTTTTACCAAAGAATATTACATCTAATTTACTTGCTTAAAAAAAACGAACACTTTTACTGTTAATTTTAAATGAACACGCAAGTACATTGAAAATATAGTCTATTAAACTAAATATTTGTTTTACATTTTCTGCCTAGGTTGTTATTATTTAATACAATTTTTAACCCAAAAAACTAAAGAAATGCATTTAAGTGGCAGTATACAAAATATGACTCTTCATATTCGCTCCAAAACAACTGATTTGTACACTTTTGGGTCAATATGGACTAACACAACTGTTGGGTTAAATTTTGGTTACATTTTTAAATGAACTTTTTAACCCAACAGTTGGTCCATATTTGACCCAAAATAGGGTTGAAACAACCCAGCATTTTTTAAGAGTGTAGAAAAAACACCGCTAACAATTTTATTTCGTGAAGCTGTTTTTAATTACACATCGCTATTGCTACAGCAACCCATTATAATAAACATATTTAGTTTATTATTTTTAATGCGTAATGTTCATAGGAAATTTACAAGCGCTGTAAAAACACGAAAAGGTGCGCATTTATCTGCTCTGACCGGTAAAATGTACTTTAATTGGTGTCATACGTAATCCTATTTTTGACTTTAATTTAGACGAGTGTCAGTGAGAACCTCGATGTAAATATATCACCCATCATTTGTTTCTGTGATGGTGCGAAACTCACCCAGCATCACTCCCAGAGACTCTGCTGCTGTTCTGAACTGGTCTTCAATTTTGATTCCGTCCAGCATATCTGATGTGTTGCAGGACAGCGGCTCTCTGCTGACCTGTCGCAGTGTCCAGAAGAAGCGCAGCAGCAGCAGCAGGCGCACCGTGACGAGACAGAAACTAAAAGTAAACTCTCTAGTCTCGCTTTGCTTATTCTACAAGACGAGAGCAAAACACATGCATGTTTTTCAGTGACGGTTCTTCCAACTGGATCCTTCGGGAGAAACGATATGAAAGCGTCCAGCGAGAGCTTCCTGATAATCCAGCAGCGGGAGGTGCGCGTGAGCTGTGAGCTCCTCACCGAGTGCTCCTCTTGAGGAGTCCGCGCGCTGCATGTGATGCTAGAACCGCCTACAACACCAGCTGTTCCGAGGACAAGCAGACAGCAAGAATTATTTGCATAAAAGATGTGCATGATGTTTATTAGGCTAGTGCATGAGATATGCACTTATAAAATGTTTAGCAAAACTAAACTTCTAGTTCTACACATATAACGCAATTTTGGGTCAAATATGGACTAACACAACTGTTGGGTTAAAAAGTTAATTTAAAAATGTAACCATATTTGACCCAACATTGGGTTGAAACAACCCAGCATTTTTTTAGAGTGTAGCTATTAAGCCTATAATCAGATTGAAAATGCGCAGTTGTTACTTAAAGGAGTTATTTCTATCCGACACTTTAAAAAATGTATTTTGTTGACGACGTAATTAGATAAATTGCGACTTTTAGCCTACGAAATGGTATTTAAAAAAAATATTATAATAGGCTACAAATAAAAACAAATGAAATATTTTATGTTCAATTATGTTTTACCAAAGAATATTACATCTAATTTACTTGCTTAAAAAAAACGAACACTTTTACTGTTAATTTTAAATGAACACGCAAGTACATTGAAAATATAGTCTATTAAACTAAATATTTGTTTTACATTTTCTGCCTAGGTTGTTATTATTTAATACAATTTTTAACCCAAAAAACTAAAGAAATGCATTTAAGTGGCAGTATACAAAATATGACTCTTCATATTCGCTCCAAAACAACTGATTTGTACACTTTTGGGTCAATATGGACTAACACAACTGTTGGGTTAAATTTTGGTTACATTTTTAAATGAACTTTTTAACCCAACAGTTGGTCCATATTTGACCCAAAATTGGGTTGAAACAACCCAGCATTATTTAAGAGTGTAGAAAAAACACCGCTAACAATTTTATTTCGTGAAGCTGTTTTTAATTACACATCGCTATTGCTACAGCAACCCATTATAATAAACATATTTAGTTTATTATTTTTAATGCGTAATGTTCATAGGAAATTTACAAGCGCTGTAAAAACACGAAAAGGTGCGCATTTATCTGCTCTGACCGGTAAAATGTACTTTAATTGGTGTCATACGTAATCCTATTTTGACTTTAATTTAGACGAGTGTCAGTGAGAACCTCGATGTAAATATATCACCCATCATTTGTTTCTGTGATGGTGCGAAACTCACCCAGCATCACTCCCAGAGACTCTGCTGCTGTTCTGAACTGGTCTTCAATTTTGATTCCGTCCAGCATATCTGATGTGTTGCAGGACAGCGGCTCTCTGCTGACCTGTCGCAGTGTCCAGAAGAAGCGCAGCAGCAGCAGCAGGCGCACCGTGACGAGACAGAAACTAAAAGTAAACTCTCTAGTCTCGCTTTGCTTATTCTACAAGACGAGAGCAAAACACATGCATGTTTTTCAGTGACGGTTCTTCCAACTGGATCCTTCGGGAGAAACGATATGAAAGCGTCCAGCGAGAGCTTCCTGATAATCCAGCAGCGGGAGGTGCGCGTGAGCTGTGAGCTCCTCACCGAGTGCTCCTCTTGAGGAGTCCGCGCGCTGCATGTGATGCTAGAACCGCCTACAACACCAGCTGTTCCGAGGACAAGCAGACAGCAAGAATTATTTGCATAAAAGATGTGCATGATGTTTATTAGGCTAGTGCATGAGATATGCACTTATAAAATGTTTAGCAAAACTAAACTTCTAGTTCTACACATATACACTCAAAAAAATGCTGGGTTAAATACAACCCAGTGCTGGGTAAAATAGGGACAAACCCAGCAATTGGGCTGTTTTGACCCAGCGGTTTTGCATCAACATCTAGGAATTGGTTAAACATTAAATTTTATAACACCTTTTCTATTTCTAATTCTACACATATACACTCTAAAAAATGCTGGGTTAAATACAACCCAGTGCTGGGTAAAATAGGGACAAACCCAGCAATTGGGCTGTTTTGACCCAGCGGTTGGGTTACAACCCAGAAGGTTTGGTTAAACATTCTATTTTATAACACCTTTTCTATTTCTAGTTCTACACATATACACTCTAAAAAAATGCTGGGTTAAATGCAACCCAGTGCTGGGTAAAATAGGGGCAAACCCAGCAATTGGGCTGTTTTCTGGGTAGTAACCCAACCGCTGGGTCAAAACAACCCAATTGCTGGGTTTGTCCCTATTTTACCCAGCACTGGGTTGCATTTAACCCAGCATTTATTAGAGTGTATAATTAAAAATAATATAACTTTTTAACTTATAACTTTTTAACTTAAAATGTTCAAATGTCTATGTTCTTTAAACATCGGATATTTACTCGTTACATTTGATTTTCCGCTTTTTAATCGTGTTTTATTGAATTGCTTTTGTCTTAAATTCTCAAACCATTCAGCTGTGAAATCGGGACAATATATTTATAATCTCGAGTCTGATATTTAACAAAGAATAATTTCATTTCTCGCGCAGCTGCGATGAAAACTGCGCTGCTTTTAGCTTCATGACATTATCTGCATGATTAATAAAGACCCAGATAAAAGCTGATTTAATCTCTCTGCGCATAATATCCATGTAAAATTCATAAGGAGAATCTTTTGTGTTTCAGATCCTTTCGCAGGCAGACATCTCAGGGCAATAAACCTGCGAGGAACTAGAAAGAAAGATAAAGGGGGAGTTTGTATCTTTATTACTTTCCTCATTAGTATTCTTCTCTTCTCTAATTATGACAGGCATCTCCTGTAGATGAAAAATGCCTTTCTCCTGAACATTTCATGAAATTTATTTTTTCCCCCGTTTTATGTAGGATAGCCTACATAAGGGGAATTCATTTTTATTTTTTCCCTCTTCACAGCTGAGAGAAACGATTTATTTCTATATGTAGATTAGGCTATTTATATTGCTTTATATAAAATACAATTTAATATAATTATTCGCGATCGAGATCACTATAATTTTAATGCACATAGGACATGCATAGGCTACATTAGATTACATACACACGAAATAACATTACTTCTAACAATCAAACTGCGTTATTTAAAGCCATTGCCTACTTTTAATTATCACTAATTTAACATATCAATAGCAGTAGGCTATCCTAACATTTAACGATATTTCCCAAGATATATGCTGTTGGTGTCTGAATAACTGCGCCTATAAAGTTCAGACAGTTTTGCTTCATGTCCCACTCGGTGTTTTAAAGATGCACTTGAATAAAATAATGTTAATAAAAATCATCAGGATGATGCTTCATTTTTCAGTGTGCGAATTATTCAGCGACTTATTTTTTCCCCTCTAGAATTTCTGTCAGTAATGTATCGTCTTTATAGCAATCGACTTGCGATACGTGTAATAAATAATCACAGTATTTTTTTGTTTACGCAAATATTGGCGTTTTAAAAGAAAAGCGCACGAGTAGCGTACTGTTGGTTAGCGCGCTCTTCATGAATTTTCTCTTGCATTCAGAGTAAATTTGAAAGAATAATGGGTTCATATTTCCAGCCATAATTAAAAGAAATATCCTTAAAAGTTATATTTAGAAATAAACGCAAAAGTCTTTTAATTATTATTATTTATATATATATATATATATATATATATATATATACGGTGTAAACCAACAGTCGTCTGCTTTGTTCTGCCTGACATTTGCTACACCTCTGGAGAAATCTCACTGGTCCAGGCTCAAATAGCCATATTTAGACAAAAGCATTAATCCTTTTAAAATCAAACACGAAACGGCATAATTAGATATTTATGCATAAATAGGCTAAATAAATAGTCATGTATATGCATTATCAATACTCCTTACGACTGATGACTTTCAATAGCCTGTCATTAACAGCTCTGAACACTGAAGCGTTGGTTCATATTGTGTTCTTGTGCCCTCTAGCGTCAATGGTCCTGCTATTGGACTTCATCTGTACTTTACAATCTGTTATTATGTCCTCACTACAACAGACCACATAACACACAGCCAGTGTTGTCTAATTAACAGCTATTTACATTATGGGCAGTGTTCCACATTCAGCTGTGGCTGTATCAAATATTTCATAAAACTGTTAATATTAAGGTAAGATGGGGAAGATGTCCCGCTCAAGAACAATGTACATTTACTTTTAAATTGTTACATAATTAGATATAAGAAGGTTAGCGTGTGCAGGATGCATCAGCCAATGTGTTATTAATAAAGAGAATAAAAATAAACATTTGTAAAATTATGTCACAAAATGTAAAATCATTCAAAGAGGCCATCGCACTGAACCCCAGCTAAACTTTTACATAATGTATAAATGATATCATTCTCATATTTATATATATTTTCACAGTGTCATTAATGTAAAATAAATCAACTATTCTATTTAAAATTGTCTTTTGACAATTGAATATTTGAATAACCAGTGACAGACAAAGCAGAATCCCAGTAAAATAAATTCATCTGAAAGGTATTTATCCTATGACTTACATGCAGGCATATGGATATTTATATATTTAATTGGCCATAGTTTAATTGAAGAGAGGTCATATTAGCAATGCTGTGAATTCAAATTAAACAATTTCACTAACGATGAGTCTACTTTTTTGAGCCGGGTCTCATGAAAATGCATATAAATAGTACGCCAAATAAAAACGAAAACTCGTGGTATTGATACGCAAAAATTGACTTTGGCGTGCATATGATACGCATGTGTTTGGCGTGCATATAATACGCAGTTCTCGCGTGCATATGATACGAAATTTGTTGGCGTGCATATGATACGCAGTTCTCGCGTGCGTATGATACGAAATGTGTTGGTGTGCATATGATACGCAGTTCTCGCGTGCATATGATACGAAATGTGTTGGTGTGCATATGATACGCAGTTCTCGCGTGCATATGATACGAAATTTGTTGGCGTGCATATGATACGCATCTACCCCACAACCCTAAACCTACCCATCGCGTAGCATATACACGCCAAAGTCCATTTTTGCTTATCAATACCATGAGTTTTCGTTT